GGTGTGGGTGGGTGGGCAAGGCGACTGGGCTGGAGGAGAGGGCGTGGGCCACCAGAGCGAGGGTGGCCGCGCGTGCGTGCGCTAGCTAGGTGGGACCAGCCGGCCTTGGGATTCCCCCGGCAGCAGGCAGGCCAGCCGGCCGGGCGCGCCAGATTGTTGGGGGGACTGGAGCCAGCGGCGTGCAAGAGGTGGTGCCGGCGCACCCCTGCCGTCGCCCGCAGCAGCAGGGCCCCACCTCCTCTGCGCCCTTGAGCGCGGCTGCGCGCCGCACTCGCTTGCGGTCGTCGCTGAGCACCAGGCTGTCTGCTGCCTCCAGCGCGTCGGCCACGTCGGCCACGGTGGCGTCCTTGACCGCCGCCGGGTCGCTCACAGACGACTTGAGCAGGGCGCGTACGCGGGAGAAGATGCAGAGCAGCGCAATGTCCACGTAGCCCTCGGGGTCGCCCCGCACCGTCTCCTGCAAGAACTTGTCGCGCGGCAGGTTGCTGTCGCTGAAGTAGAACTCGATCTGCGCAGGGCCAGGCAGGCGGTGGGTGGGAGGGAGGGCGGCAAGGAGGCGGGCGACGCTCCAGTGGATCGACTGGCGACGCTCCAGTGGATCGACTGGCGGCAGCGGCGGGGGAGATGGCGGAGCGGCCGCTTGCCCACCCACGCCGTATTGCTGGTGTGGTCATGCCACGAAACTAGTTCGGACAGTGCAAGGAGGTTGGCGATGGCGCCGGCCCACATGCATGCGGAGAGACCCCCACGCCAGCACCTGCTGCCGCAGGCGGTCTTTGGTGGCGACATCCAGCACCATGATGCCACGCTAAGGCTGCTTGCTCCTGGGTTGCTGCAGCCCGACTGGCGGCTGGGCAGGGCAGGCGAAAACCAATCGTTTGGCAGCGGTGGGCTGTTTGGGGCGGTGACGATATTGCTGGGATGGAGAAGGAGGCAAATTCCAGAAACAAAATGCAGTTGCCACGTCATGGCATCCAGACGGCTTGAATCGCACGCTGTGACCTCATTTCTAGCAAAGCAGGGGTCATCGGTACATCAGACAATCTGCAACCAGCAGCCTGCAGAACACAGACACACATGCAGCGCATCGCCTTGCCTCGCAGCCCCACCGCCGCCTTCCTGGCCCATCAGAACCGCAGAGCAGCTTACCAACCTCGGCATTGCGGGGCCCGGCACTGCGCAGAAGCTACCCCGGCGCGCTGGCAGCGACTGCCGTCGGCGTCGGCGACAAGCGACGGCCCCAGCAGCACTGAGCCCGAGGTGCGCCCTGCCCGTCCTCAATCCATTGCTGCCTGGGACTTCTCCATGCATCACCTTGGCGGATGCGGGCGACAGGCAGCAGTAGGCCGCCCTGCCAGCACGCCGCACCTCCCGCGTGTTGTCGCCTTGTCTGGCCTCCTCCATGCGTCACTCCCCCGCTGAAGTGCTCAACTCATGCAGGCAGCAGCGGAGGAGCAGGAGGGGCTGCTGCCAGAGGAGGATGTGCAGATCCCGGGCGGCTATCGGGATGCCATGAGCTCCAATACAGCGCTGGGCAAGGCGGTCAAGGGAGTTTGCGACGAGCTTGACACGCTCGGCGGCTTGGTGAGCCTGTGGCACTAGCGGAGAGCTACAAGATTATAGACGTAGCTGCAGCAGCTGACAGCAGCGCGCCTGGCACCGCTTGGCCCCCTGCTCCCTGCATGAGGAGCCGCTCTGGCTTGTGGAGCACGAGCTGTCCGGTGATGCCCCAAGCTGCCCCGTACCCCCTGGCTGCCCTGCAGGAGCGGCAGACGCTGGAGCAGGCAGAAGGGCTGCTGAAGCAGCTGGGGTTCAAGGGTAGCCTGTTCATGGGCGCGCCGCAGCAGCAGGAACAGGCGGGGCAGCAGGAGCAGGAGTGACGCAGCGCCTGTGCCCCGCCGTCGTGCATGTCCCCGGCCGCCGCTGAGAAGTGTAACAACCGGCGCTGCCCAGGTCAATGCAGCACACAATTCAATTTCTGGGGGTGCCCTTGAGCCCAGAAAGGGCAACGGAGGGAGTTCTCGGTGAATTCCCTACCATGCTGGAGTACAGTTATTGTACTGCGCCCTCACTGCAGGCCGCAAACTCGATATCCCGCAAATTGCGGGCTGCTTCATCGTTTGCCAGTTGCAGCCTGTGTGTCAGCGCTTCGCATCAGAGCGCCAGGCAGCCCCAGGCAGCCCGTTTCCTGCAGTGCCCAACTATCTGCTCGGCACCCCGCTTTCGGCACTGCCCCCAGGCACCCCAGCCGACAGCAGCATGCAACTGATGTCAACCTGCAACCGGTAGGCAGCCTGCAGCAGCCTGGGGAGGCCACCCCGCCCTTTGCCGCTCTCTGACTCGAGTGCTACCACACCCAGCCCACAACCCTACAACGCCCTGACGCTGCCCTGCAGGCCTGTCACGGCCTCACTTGAGACTTCCGCGCTGCGAAAGCGCGCAGGGGCCCCACAGCGGCTTCCCAGGTGCGCTCGCGCGTCCTTGCATGTCTGGGCGGGCCGTACAGTGCAGTTTGGGGACGTCTGGCACCTGCCCTGGCACGTCCTCATCCCCCCTGCTGCAAATCGATTGCCGCGCAGGGCGCGTATCTGTGCGGCCCAGAGGGCGCCGGCGGTGCGGGCGGCCGCGACCCTTGCGGCAGACGAGCAAGCAGCGGTGAGCCTGGGCTTCGTCTGCGAGCACCCCAGCCAGCTGCAGGCCAGCAACCTCGTGCCTGCGCTGCAGACGGTGTTGCTCAGCCTGCACCAGCGGCCCAGCAGCAGGGGGTGGGAGCGTGCGGTGCTTGCCTCGCCGCTGCTGGTGGGCCTGCTCAGCTGGGCCACGCAGCTGCTGGAGCAGACGGCGGCGGCGGCGGCGCTGGGCCCCGAGGCCCCCCTGCTGGTGCTGGAGGCGCTGAGCCACCTGGGCAGCGCCAGCACCGCGCTGGAGCCCAACGGCGCCGCCACGCGCCAGGCGCAGCACTGCCGCCGCCTGTGGCGTCACGCCCACGCCTGCCTGGGCGACGCCGCCGACGAGGCGGGTGTGTGGACCCTGCTCAACCGCGACCTCATGACGCCCGACATGATTGTGCGCTACTACGAGGCCTGCGCACGCGGCGCCCTGCTGGCCGGCACGCCCACCAAGAGCCGCGGGCTGGGCCTGCTGCTCAGGAGCCACCTGCACAACAAGTGAGCCGGGCAGCCAGATGGCGGCGGCGGCAGCTGCCGCGGCGCGCCCGCGGCTCAACACATGCGCATGCTGCTGCCTGCGGCCCGTGTGCTGGGGGCACGGCGCGCCTGGCCAACCGCTGCCCGCCTGTGCCAGCAGCGCTGACCCCCGCCTGCCATGCTCCCCCCCACCCTGTGTTCCTCCAGGCGCTTCACAACCGACGAGTGCGTGCGCCTGCTTACGGCCTGGGCGCAGCTGCGCCGCCGCATGCCCTTCAACCCAGGTGCGTGGCACCGCCGCCGCCGAGCTGGCCCCCGCGCCCAGCTGGCATGGCCCGCTGCCAGCATCAACCGCGCGCCTCTGCCCAACCCCGCTTGCCTGTGCTGCCACCCCTGCAGACTCCTATAACTTTGCTGACCTGTCCGCCTGCCTGGCGGCCAGCGCGGGGCAGCTGAATGTGGCGCAGCTGCAGCTGGTGGCGGCTGCCGCCCCCGCCTTCCAGTGGCCCGTGTACCGCAGCATGCCGCTGCTGCACGCCGTGTGCCGCGAGGCGGTGCACAGGTCCATGGCCGGCACCATGCAGCTGCCCGCGGCGCAGCGCACGCTGGCGGCGGCGGTCAAGGGGGTGGCGGCCATGCACCCGCGCCTGGCGCATGACCTGCAGGCAGCCACCTGCGAGTGGATGAGGGACGCCCCCACCGCCGCACCCGCCGCACCCACCGCCGCGGCGCCGGCCGCAGCAGCGCCGGTCCCCGCCGAGGCGCCAGACTGCGGCAACAACGCTGTGGCCCTGCCGTGCGTCGGCCCCACGCTGTCCCCGCTGGTGGGCACCACCCACGCATGAGCCGCGCGCAGCGGCGCGAGTGCCGCCCCCTGGCTCCTTGCTCGAGCAACAGCTACAAACAGTTCATTTGATTTGCCACCTTTGAAGTGCCCCAGCCCTCTCGCTTGAATGAACTACCCTCTGAGTCAGCCTCTTTCATCTAATACTAACTCCAAAATCCTGCCTTGTACGCACCCCTGATCTATCCATCCTATCCGATCCCCCGCCGGAACTGCACACTCCCGCCCTACTAAACCTACTACCTACACAACCTACTAAACGCTCGCACTTTGGCCCCCGCAGCGCCAGCCCTCGTTCGGAACGAACCCCTGCTGCCATACTACTTGCCATCTTGCCTGCCCCAGTCAGCATTTCAGAAACGCTCCTCGCTAGGCCTCCACCCCTCCAGGCCCCTGTTACCTCCTGTTCATGCCTCGCTGCCCATGCCGCAATTTTCTGCTTCCCTGCGCCATGGCCCGGCCCCCGTGCCCTCCCATTCTTCACGCACCTCTTTCCTGCTCAGGCCTTAGTACGCTTGCATGCAGCCTGTGTTCTCTGCTCTCCCTCTGCCCGTCCCCTAGATGACGACCACCCCATCTTTTGTATCCCCGCGCATGCTGCCCCTTGCAGGACCCTGCACTCTCTTCCCCTTTCCCTGCCCCCCTTTTCCTGCGCATGGATCCCTGCCCCGGCCAATTTTCTTCCCGATCGGCCACCTGAACGGCAGCGGACCTGGGAGTTTTATTGGAGCGATACCATGCCGACCACCAAGCATTTTTCTGCCGCATCTTTTTGATTTGACGCGGGGATGTAGGAAACAAATTTCCACCTACAGATCACGCTTTCCCATCCCCACCTCCCCTGACCCCCTTCTTGTAACAGTAGCAAAGCCCTCGCGTTGCAGTTTAAATCAGTAGGGTACAGGCGCTGGAGAGAGCGCAGGCGGTACAGTGACGGGTAGCAGACAGAAGAGGAAGAAGAGAGGCAAGCGGCAGGCCACCCAGCAAGGAGCGGCCACGCTTACTTCCACTGCGCACAGCAGGGAGCAGCAGGCAGCGCGGAAGTCAGCTTGGCAGCGGGTGCGGCCGATGGGCAGGCAGGCTGGCTGGCAGGCAGGGCAAGAGCTCTGCTCAGCTGGCGGCAAGGAGAGCGGTGGCTGCGGCCCACCCACCAGCTTCTTGATGCTCATGTTCTTATCTGTGTCCTTCTTCATCACCTTGGACACGCTCATCTCAAAGTCCTCCTGCGGGAACCAGGCGCAGGCGGGCAGGCAGCGGCAGGCAGGCAGCGCGGCAGGGGCAGATAGGCAGGCAGGCAGGCGGGGTGGGGGGCCCAGACAGGTGCAGGGAACAGGCACGCGTGCCACGCCGCGATCCACAGCGGCCCCTCTCCCCGGTCCCCAGCCCCCCAGTGCCCACCCCGCTCCCCGCGGGGCATCCCCACCCCACCCCTTGCCCGCCCCGCGCCGCCCACCTGCGTGACGTGCACGCGCCGCTCCCTCAGCGCAAACATCCCGGCCTCGGTGCACACCGCTTTGAGCTCCGCGCCGCTGGACCCAGTCATGCCCTCGGCGATCTTTTTCAGGTCGATACCGCGCTGCAGGTTCATCTTGCGGGAGTGGATCTTGAGGATGTCGAAGCGGGAGGTCTCGTCGGGGTTGGGGAACTCGATCTTGCGGTCGATGCGGCCGGGGCGCAGCAGCGCCGGGTCCAGGATGTCGATGCGGTTGGTGGCCATGAGCACCTGCGCCGGGCAGGCGGATGAGGCAGCATGGCGCAGCGCTGGGGTGGCGCGGCGCTGGGGTGGCGGCCCGGGTAGGTGAGGAGGCTGGGCAAGCGACCGTCGTGCGGCCCAGCCGTGCCGGCCGCATGCTCCGCTGCCGGCCCAGGATGCAGCCTCCTTTTCACACCACCAAGCAACATCCTGTCACATGCCCACACACCACGCACCACGCACACCACGCCACCCCCGCCACCACCACACACTCCCCCCCACCTTGATCTTGTTGGTGGCCTCGAAGCCGTCCAGCTGGTTGAGCAGCTCCAGCATGGTGCGCTGCACCTCGCTGTCGCCGCTGCCGCCGCTGTTGTCGGTGCGGGCGGAGCCGATGGAGTCCACCTCGTCCATGAAGATGATGGAGGGGGCGTGCTCCCTGGGTGGGGTGTGGGAGGTGGGTGTGGGTGTGGGTGTGTGTGTGATGGGGAGGTGCGTGGGGCGCGTGGGGAGGTGGGTGGGCAGGCAAGTGTGTGGGCAGTCGGGTTTTTGTGTGTGTGATGGGGAGTGCGCAGGGAGGGAGGGGTGGGCGCCGCAGCGCGGCCCAGCCCCGTGCGCCGTGCACCAGCCATGTGCCGCCGCTGCCTGCCCTGCCTGCACTGCTTGCCCTGCCTGCCCTGGCTGGCTGCCCTGCCTGCCCTGCCTGCCCCGGCTGCCCCACACCGCCCCAGCCCCGCGCACCTGGCCATGACAAACAGCTCCCGCACCATGCGGCTCCCCTCCCCGATGTACTTCTGCACCAGCTCGCCGCCAGACACGCGGATGAAGGTGCAGTCGGTGTGGTGGGCCACCGCGCGCGCCAGCAGCGTCTTGCCTGCGGGCCGGCGGGCGGGGGCGAGGAGGGAGCGGAGGCGTCGGCACGCATCCACTGGCGTGCATGCATGACAGCGATGGCAGCAGCACAGCTGCTCGCACACATGCTTGAGAGCGGCGGCACACATCCACTAGCAAACATGCTTGACCGTGCTTCGAAGCGTGGAGGCATGACGGGTCAAGGAGGACCGCGGCGACGGCAGCCGTGCTGCCACCATCTGCCACCATCTGCCAGCCCCGGCCCCAGGCCCCAGCCCCAGCCCGGCCGCAGCCCGCACCTGTCCCCGGCGGCCCGTACAGCAGCACGCCCTTGGGCTGCGCGATGCCCAGCGCATCAAACAGCTCCGGGTGCTTCAGCGGCAGCTCGATGACCTGCGGCGGCAGCGGACGTGGGGGTGGAGATGTTGAGGTGTTGAGGTGGTGAGGTCCAGGCCGCATCAGGCGTGCCCAGCGCAGGCCGCGGCACGCGCAACCCTCCACCCTCCAACGCCCGCCATGGGCAGAGATGCTCCCATGCACTCCCGCCCCTCCGGCCGCCTCAACCGCCCGCCACCTCCCATTGGCGGCGCCCTCTCCCCTCCCAGCCACCTCCGTGCAGCCTGCCCACCACCCGCTCCGGTCCCC